AGAGAGAGAGAGAGAGAGAGAGAGAGAGATGTGAGAGAATATGTGAAGATTTCGGGGTTGAGTTGTATTCATATATTAATAAATGATAAGAAGAGATAAATCGACACAATTTATGTCATTCACTACTTTGTGAGACACAAGTAATTCCATATAAAAACCTGACAAATAAAACACAAGCATAAAAATGATATTTTTCTCATCCATTACTACCACCAAACTCTCATAGGTCTCTCTCTCTCTCATTAGAAAGCAAATACATATCATCGACAGATCCAATAGTTATTTTATAAGATAGCACTCATTGTATACAAGAAATTGTATTTGAAATAAAGTCATACAATTTGTGTGAATATTCACTAAGAATGTCGACAAATAGTGAGAGAGAGAGAGAGAGAGAGAGAGAGAAATAAAGAAGAAGAGCCAGTGATTATGAATTGAGTGAAGTATTTGATAGAAGAATGCAATTCTGTCTCCCATTTGGCCGCAAAGCAAGCAAACCATCAGTCCTTCAGTCCTTTTGGCTTTCATTTCAGATACCATTCCTTCGCAATCATTGCTTACGTCTACTGTTTTCACATATATATCGAGTGCCGAGAAATTCATCTCCTATTTGAGATGCCAATTGTATGACACCATCACTACTACCGCCACATCCATTGACTCTTCCCTTATCCTATCGATCCATCCATACATATGAGTGGCAATTCATTGAGAAAAACAACCACTAAATAGACTCTCATTCCCTAATATAAGTGGGAGAGGGAGTGAGTGAGAGATCTGTTATATGTTTAGACAAATACGGGGTTTATATATGTATTTTATTTGGCATTTATCGACACATTTTAATGACAATTGAATGTCAACTGAAATATTGATTTCTAATACTTTGAATGACATATAATATAGTAAAGTATATTATTGTGAATATTATTGCAAATTCAAATTGATATGCAATTCATTGATTGAAATTCAGTGACAATTAATGCTAAAGTGTTATACGCTGTGAATGTGAATGACATTTGAGTTTTTTAATTACTTTAATGTTTTAGTGAGAAAAACAACTCATTATTTTATGTATAATTACTTGACAGGTATTTCTCAGTGTATGCACTGGTATTAGGCGTTCATCACGTAATTAACTCCAGACTTAAATAACACAACAATTGAAAATTTTGGTTCATTTAGTATTTATCGTTATAAATAATTATGCATTCACTTGATTAGGTTAAGGGGTATCGCATACTCTCTCTCTCTACGGTTGGCGTGTTTTGCACATGTAATTGTATCATCCATACATATGAGTGGCAATTCATTGAGAAAAACAACCACTAAATAGACTCTCATTCCCTAATATAAGTGGGAGAGGGAGTGAGTGAGAGATCTGTTATATGTTTAGACAAATACGGGGTTTATATATGTATTTTATTTGGCATTTATCGACACATTTTAATGACAATTGAATGTCAACTGAAATATTGATTTCTAATACATTGAATGACATATAATATAGTCGTGTATTATTGTAAATATTATTACGAATTCAAATTGATATGCAATTCATTGATTGAAATTCATTGACAATTAATGCCAAAGTGTTATACGCTGTGAATGTGAATGACATTTGAGTTTTTTAATTACTTTAATGTTTTAGTGAGAAAAACAACTCATTATTTGATGTATAATTAATCGACAGGTATTTCTCAGTGTATGCACTGGTATTAGGCGTTCATCACGTAATTAACTCCAGACTTAAATAACACAACAATTGAAAATTTCGGTTCATTTAGTATTTATCGTTATAAATAATTATGCATTCACTTGATTAGGTTAAGGGGTATCGCGTACTCTCTCTCTCTCTCTCTCTCTCTCTCTCTCATCACATATTAATTCAACGACAATATAAGAGTCTTTCAATGTATTTATATCACAGCCTTTTGTATCCAAATGACGTAAAACTAGTGTAAACTTTATTTTTCCTCTTTATTACAACGGCTTAAATGATGTTAATATTGATATGAATGCCATAACACCTATTCATATATGATTACTATTGACTTCATTTCATTGTTAAATTGTGACACAAATATTACTTTATTATTATTGGTGTGTAATTCCTAACAACGGTTTTATTGAAATACTGTGTATTTTGTACAAATAATATAGTTTTATTTTTTATCATTCACTGAATTTTATTTTTTATAATCACTATATGTTTACCACTCATTTAATATTAAAAAAGTAATTTTCAATATTTTTATAAATTATTCTTTCATTCATGAAAATTAAACAAATATTTAGCAAAACTCTTACAGAATTTCAGACACTTGTAGTTATATTCAAAATATGAATGATATTTCTGATGATATTCATTGTGTTTGTCTCTCTTCGGGAACCAATAGGTGACGACTCGGACGAAGAAGTTGACGACGAGGGCGACGACGAAGACGACGACAAAGAAGAAGACGCGGCCATAAGAATCCAATCCCAATACAGAGGATATAAGACAAGGAAAGAGTATAAAGCAAACAAAAAAACCACAGAAGAAGCCGAAGAAGAAGATATCATGAAAGCCGAAGAGGTATTGTCTTGTTTTCACAATTCAAACCATTTGTTATTTGTTTTCAATCTGTTTTGTGATACAAAATAATTTTATAGACTTAACTAAAGTTAGCCAGGATTAAATATGATACTGGATATTGTTTTGTTCATTTAAAGGCCAACAGATATACGTATATACAAACACCGGGATTACTATTGCTATTGTTTTTTGGAGTTTTCATTATATTTTAAATTAATTCTGTCGTTAAATAATATAAACCGTTAATACTTTAATACCTTTTCGGAAAAGTGTGATTCATTTCAATTGAGATGCTTTTATTCAAATCCCATATAAATTGAAATGCAAAACATGGCAAACACAAAATGAGCTAGGGGGTTAATGTTCCCGTATATAACTAACTTAAATAATTCAAAATACAATCCCTGTCTCTTAGGAGGATAATATAATGCATGACTCCATTTTTGGTTATAAACCCAGAGGTCTGATAGTTTAGGGTATAAACTTGGTTAAAAATTCAAATTTACCGGTTAATACTCATTAGCAATGAGTCATTACAATCATTATATCCATTATAAATACAGTGGAATATTGGTGGATCATATGTATGCAAATTGTATAATTTTGGACTTGCAAACCAGACTACCCGGGTTCAAATCCCCAAGGTGGCTATTGCTTTTACATAAAATTATTTTTACTTTTTACCCCCTCCAAAATCTTACCATATCAGTATTAGCCGCCAAATTCAAATTTTAACCATGTTTTAGGCCGTAAACGACCAGAATATTGGGGTTATGACAGAAAGCAAAGAACTGTTAGATAGCTGTCTCTATTTATAAATTAAATAAATAAATAATATTGATACTTTTTATTTGAGCAACAAAAAGCTTTTAGTTTTATAATAAAACTTTTATTATTATAAAATAAATTATTTATAAATAATCCAAAAACACTCGCATAGATCTTAGGCCAATCACCAGCACATGACAAACACATTAAACATGATTACAAGTTATAATTTATAACTTTTATTTGCAATAAAACTATACTGTTAATAATGTATTGAATTAATGATTACACTAGGGTAATAACGAGACGGACGAGCACAAGGCTGCGACCACAATTCAGGCGGGCTTTAAGGGGTATAAAGTGCGCAAAGAGATCAAGAAACAGGGCTCAGGAGATAAGGACTCGGCGGAGGGCTCGCCCGAGAAGAAGGCCGCCGACGAGCAGACAGTTGCCGATGAAATTGTAAAATCAAATGATGAATAAATATATAGATTATATATTTATATATAATTAGATGTATATTAAGTTAACAGTAATACGAATTACACCTCTGGATAATTGTTTGCCTATTTTTTAAATTTGTATTTTTCTTATTCTGGTTCCGATTTTCTTGTTATTATAATTTGAGTTTTGTTTTTATGGCACATATAGTGTATTACACAATATATTATGTTTAGTAAATTATGATTTAGTTATCAGTCAAATAGTGATCGATTAGATTATATAATAATTATATTATCATTAAAACTACTTTAGATATGAATCGTTTTCGCAAGCATAGCATGAGTTGTGTTACAATTTGCTGACAACTTATTATAACTCAAAGGAGAGAAAAGCCTTTGTTTTTATCATTTCTATGAACATGTTTTTTATTATACTTTTATTTTTGGCTTTTAATTATGATATAATGCTATTAAATACAATAAAATACACATTAAATACAATTACACGTTGAATGTCAATAGAAAACCATTTTATCATTTTTATAAATTTTCAAAAACTATTTGAAGAATATTATTGTGATTTTACTTTCAATGAATAAATAGTGAATAAAACATAAAATATTAAAAACCAATTGATTTAAGGCTTTAGATATGGAAACAAATGATCAAATAAAACACTAACACAAATGTATGTCTCGTTTTTCTATACATTAATATTCTGTTTGTACTGTCAATGCATTATATCATGATTTGAATTGATTTATAATTTCTCCATTCATTTACTTCTGGATAAAAACCATTTAATTATGAATTGTGTTTGCATTCAATCCGTTGATGAGAATGTGATTTATGTTTTTTGTTGTTTCGTTCAACAGATCTCTTATGTTATATGTTTTGCTTTCGGGAAAATGAATGCATTTTCCGTTACATAACATCCAAAATACATTCAAATAACATATAACTTATACCGTATATAATGTTAATTGATATAAATTGTATGACTTGTATAACGCTTATGCACTTAAATGTCTTATCTCTCTCTTCATTTTCCGTTACATAACATCCAAAATACATTCAAATAACGTATAACTTATACCGTATATAATGTTAATTGATATAAATTGTATGACTTGTATAACGCTTATGCACTTAAATGTCTTATCTCTCTCTTTCTCTCTCTCTCTCCCAACGCATTCACACCACTCTCTCCTGCAAATGAAAATCAAACAAAAAACTAACAATAAAAATAATAACCAAAACTGTGTCACTATATATGAAAAAACAATTGTCTCCCAATCGTTGTCTAATTGTCTTATTGTCTCTGGTCTGACACACAAACCGTCTATACGTCTAAATCACTGTCACCCGCATTGTCTATATCTAACTCACACTCTCACCCGCACCACACAAATAACACCACAATTACCGATCGGTTGGGCCGACCCGTGCTGTAAACCATAGGCCGATATAGACCTAAACGATCCCGAGGTAGAGAAGGCGGCCATCAAAATACAGGACACGTTTAGGGGATATAAGAAACGACGGGAACCTAATGACGACAAATGATTAGCCGATCATTAAATATATTTATATATATATTTAACAGTTATATATAAATCGCGGCAAAACATATATACATTAATAACACTTGAATTAATTGTAATAATTTTTAATGAGAAAAACGATAATAATATTATTAATATTAATAGTTTGCATTATTTATAACTGCGATATGAAATTAATGATTAATAATAATAATTAACGAAATTAATACCGATATATATAACTAATATTAATACCGAAATCCCTTTATATAACAGTATATATCAATATATTTAATATACGGATTAATTATTACAAAAGCATCGGATTATAATAAATTAATCAATGCAACCGATCAGTACCACCAGTAAATGAATTGTTGTTAACATTATAATTGTTTTTAATTCATTAATATATTTACAGTGCATTACATTTTGAGGTATAAATTAAACATAAATATATTACAAATTCAGTACATTTTAGTTATATAAAGTATACACATAATTGAATTATATAATAGAGAATTATATTATATATCTCTTTAAATAGTTTACTTAATGATATTATTTGAGAATATATTTAATTAATTAATTATAAGTGTTATTCATTGAAATACATATGTAATTATAAAATATTATTATAAGTTATGGAATTGATTATTAAAATTACAGTAAAAACAACAGCAAACAATAAAATTACATTGTTTAATTATTAGCAATAATTATATTGGAAACAATTACCATTGTAAAACTTTATAATAAAAAAAATTAGTTAACAATTTATATACATATTATATAAAATTATATAATAAAGTATATCAACAAATTCTGTACACAATTTCCACGACAAACAACAAAATACAAACGAATATTAAATTCATAGCCTTTTTTTAATTATTACAAAAGCATCGGATTATAATAAATTAATCAATGCAACCGATCAGTACCACCAGTAAATGAATTGTTGTTAACATTATAATTGTTTTTAATTCATTAATATATTTACAGTGCATTACAATTTGAGGTATACATTCAACATAAATATATTACAAATTCAGTACATTTTAGTTATATAAAGAATACACATAATTGAATTATATATTATATATCTCTTTAAATAGTTTACTTAATGATATTATTTGAGAATATATTTAATTAATTAATTATAAGTGTTATTCATTGAAATACATATGTAATTATGAAATATTATTATAAGTTATGGAATTGATTATTAAAACTACAGTAAAACAACAGTAAACAATAAAATTACATTGTTTAATTATTAGCAATAATTATATTGGAAACAATTACCATTGTAAAACTTTTTAACAAGAAAAAATTAGTTAACAATTTATATACATATTATATAAAATTATATAATAAAGTATATCAACAAATTCTGTACACAATTTCCACGACAAACAACAAAATACAAACGAATATTAAATTCATAGCCTTTTCTCTGTCTATGCTTTTCAATACAAATTCACAAATAATTTGTATACAAAATATACATTTAATATAACGAATCGATTCTGTATTCCTATTTCCAACACATTCTGTTGTTTTTGGCCAACAATATCTGAAATTGTTTCCTTTTTATTACTTCTCTCTCTCTCTCTCTCTCTCTCTCTCTTACTTTCTTTCTTTTTTACTTTTCTTTTCTCCAAAACTACTTACAAAACATATGAAATGTCTTTTTGCACTCAAATATAACAGTTTTACGAGTAAAATAACAAATGAAAACATGAAAAAATCAAATTTTGTCAAACTATTGTGTATATAAGTTATGTAATAATAATAATAATAATAAAGTACATAAGACAAAAAACACTAACAATTTGTAAGAATTTTTGTAGATATCGCTGACATTTCGGTCTTATATATGAATATTTAATATGAATTCTTGCAGAATATTCTTTGGCCTCCGATTTGGTATTATATGAGAATTCAATTCAAAGTTTGAAACGAGAAGTCGTCGACAGAAATGCATTAATAATTTAATAGTAATTATAGAAATGTATTTAAAACTACAATTTAATTTTTATGAACGTATATATACTGTAGTATATGTTATAAATATATAATAAACTGACGACAATCTACTGTCAAAACAAAAAAAGTATTATAAATCACTACTGAATATAATAGATATCTATGTAAACAAAATTCACATCTTTATTGCGAAACCAAAAAGCATTTTCTAATTAAATGAAAAAAATTAAAACGACTTTTTGTTTAGTAAAACTTAAGTAAAAATAAAATACAAAAAAGTTGACTAAAATGAATGACAAAAATATTTATTATAACTTATATACAAGTATATGAACCGAGAAATACATTTTCCACTTAATTGAATTGACAACAAATTATTTATCATACAATTGATCACAAGAAACAACACTAAAAATATAGGATATATAAAATCATATATTAAATTATATATAACTATCGATTAGATTAATATAATAGAAAATAAAGTTATAAATAAAATATAAGTTTTATTGTACTTCAAAAAACAAAGTCTATTACTGTTTATTGAAACAAAAGGCTAAGAATCTTAACAAAATAAAATGATAAAAATTTCTTATCTATATCTCTGACACAATAATTCTGTTTCAAACAAATGGTCTTAAATTACAAACAGAAATAATTATTGAAAATTGAATTCCGGCGCCTTATTATCTAGATGATATTAATGTAGATATTATAAGTGAATAGATTTAATACAATAACAAAATATAAACTAATTTACGAGTATATTAAGTCTATTACATATTTAATGGCAACATTTCAATGTATAAATTCTGGCAATTTATAGAAAAATTGTTTTAGTTTATCATTCAATGAGTATTTTCTCAACAAAAGTAATTCCCACTCAAAATGAAGCAATTGTTAGTTAAAATAAATGAACAAAGTTAATAAAATTAAATTCAACGAATTATTTAAGTTATTTATTGCGATAAAAAGTCTTATTCGCTTTCATATAAATTACTAAAACATTAATAAATGATTTAATTAACTGTTAGATAACATAGCAATGAGAATGAAATGAATATTGATTTTAAGACATCGAATTTAAAAACAACAAAAATTTCTTGGATTATAAATAAATACAATGTTTTGCCACAAAGGGATTGTCTTAATCTAAAAGTAAAAATCCTGTCAAACCATTGTATTTACCTTTAAAAATAATACTAATTCTGTTAATAAAATCTGTATTCATATAATGTTGCCAATGTTCCCAAAGATACCAATGTTGCCAATGATACCAGTGTTGTCAATGATGCCAATAATCCCAATGTTGCCAATGATGCCAAATAATTTGTGGCATAATTATAAAATAGATTTATAAAATTTAAATATAGTATTTGATTAAATATAGATTCTCGATATTGAGAGCTCAATAACATTAAACAAAGATTTCTGCCATTATGCATTTTCTAATTAATCAATAGATTATTAATATAAATTTAATAATAATTATTAATAATATTACTTATAATGTCTATTTTCAATAAATGACTTGTAGTTTTCAAGACTTAGATTTCTACCACTCATTCAAAGGTGTGAATCATTAATTCCTGTAATGAAATATTAAACAATTAAATCAAATGACAATTAATTAATTTCTAATCGATTCTTTGCACTCATTTTAATGTGTGGTTTTGTGGGAAATGAGTCTCAAATGAGTGAACAAACAATTAATCAAACAATTGATATCAATTTATATACAATACATATGCGGTGTGAATGTTATGCCAATACTATTGGTATCTATTGTTTAAACAAAGAGTTAAATCAGATAATCATTTCTTAGATGACTTGTTTGATAGGCGCTAATGACTAGACATATACTTGTCCTCCGAGTGTTTTTCATCTGGTATTAATTAATAATTTGTGACCAAATCACTGTCTGTGATATCACTAAAATGCCATCATATTTGCAAAATCACAATAAAAAAATAATTACCATAAGTAAACATCATGGATATAATCGATTTATTATATAAATTGTTAATTAATCATAATAAATTCATTAAGTTTGTGATTCAGTACTTCAACACAATTAACAAACAATAATTTTCAATGAAAAGTACTTTTAATGTATAGTAAAAATATATAGGATTTAAGTTATATTATATAACAATGTTTTCAATCACATAATCAATAGGTAAGTCATTATTAAAAGTTAATTTAAAAAATGATAATAAATTAAGAAATGGTTAAAAGATAAACGAATCAAAAGTACATTAGATTTAATATTAAGTTCTAACAAAGTTTATATGTTATAAAACAACTCAATGTATGGCACCGACACATACCGGGGCTAAACGACAATCATTAATGATCTTAACAAACGCTTTGAGATGCAAACTCTGGCAAACAAATTGAGTTGAATTTTGATTTCAATCATAATTTTAAATAACAATTTACATTACATTATGCCTTAAAATATAAGTTATATTATATAACAAAAGGTCAGTGAAAATAAATTAAAATTAGAAAACAATTTGTAAAAAATTGTACAAATATTTTGCGATCACAAAGACATCGCCGACACATGTCTTGTGATTTGTATTTTACAGTACATTGAGTTCAGTCTTCATATTCGCCACCAATTGATGATCAAACAAATCGGCGTCAAAAACATTAAACTCGTTGCTCTCAACACCGGCGACAGCGCGGGTGTCGACGGCCAGCAACGACTCACCGGCGGCGACGACATCCGTGGCCACCGACGCCGTGGCGGCAGCCGCTGACTGTCGGGCCGCCGATCGGGCCATACGTTTCGTATGCGTCTGTTTGTGTTCCTTGAGTTTGTCGGCGCGCGAGAAGTGTTTGCCGCACTCATCGCACCCGAAGTTGCGTTCGCCCGTATGGGTCACCAGATGTCGGCG